TACACCAGCCGCTGCACGGATGCGGGCACTGAGCTGACTGGCCACCTGGTACCCCACCACGATGGCCTGAGGGTTTGGTGTCCAGAATCCGGGGCCCATATTCCCCTACCACCAGCTCCTGAAGGCTGCCCCTGGAGTTGTCGCCTCCTGGGCATTGGAGGCCACCTTTCGCCACAGGGCAAGCTCACACTGCCCCAGGAGCACCCGTGCTTAAAAGCCCCACGGCTCAGATGCCAGTCCTGCAAACTGGCACAGGCCCCTGGGCTCAGGGCAGGGGAAGGGTCACCAGAAGAGTCCATGGGTGGGCGTCGGAAAAGGAATTTAATACAACCCCCCAGTTCCAGCCCGCCAGCTACCAGGCCACAGTGCCAGAGAACCAACCAGCAGATACCCCTGCTGGTTGCCAGAGAACCAACCAGCAGGCATCCCTGAGGGCCATCGACCCAGACGAGGGTGAGGCAGGTTGACTTGAGTACACCACGGATGCCCTCTTTGATAGCGGCTCCAACCAGTTCGTCTCCCTGGACCCAATCACTGGTGCAGTAACCACAGCCGAGGAGCTGGATTGTGAGACCAAGAGCACCCACGTCTTTCAGGGTCACGGTGCAGGACCATGGCATGCCCCAACGAAGTGCCCTGGCTACACTCACCATCTTGGTTACTGACACCAATGATCATGACCCCGTGTTCGAGCAGCAGGAGTACAAGGAGAGCCTCAGGGAGAACCTGGAGGTTGGCTATGAGGTGCTCACTGTCAGGGCCACGGATGGTGATGCCCCTCCCAATGCCAATATTCTGTACCGCCTGCTGGAGGGGCCTGGGGGCAGCCCCTCCGAAGTCTTTGAGATCGACCCTCACTCTGGGGTGATCCGAACCCGTGGCCCTGTGGATCGGGAAGAGGTGGAATCCTACCAGTTGACGGTAGAGGCAAGTGACCAGGGTCGGGACCCGGGTCCTCGGAGTACCACAGCCGCTGTTTTCCTTTCTGTGGAGGATGACAATGACAATGCCCCCCAGTTTAGTGAGAAGCGCTATGTGGTCCAGGTGAGGGAGGACGTGACTCCGGGGGCCCCAGTACTCCGAGTCACAGCCTCGGATCGAGACAAGGGGAGCAATGCCCTGGTGCACTACAGCATCATGAGTGGCAACGCTCGGGGACAGTTTTATCTGGATGCCCAGACTGGAGCTCTGGATGTGGTCAGCCCTCTTGACTATGAGACCACCAAGGAGTACA